GAAAAGCACGCTCATAGAACCCTACCGGGCGGTTCGGGTCGGGCGAGCGGGTAGAGCGGGCGGTACATTAAAGTATGACGCGCGCTAGAAAAAATCACGCACGCGTAACCCTATCGAACGAGTCGGATCGGGCGGACCGACCGTCCAAGTTCCCAGAGGAGCCCGAATAGCCTGAATGAGCGCCCGGTTGACCCGAAAAGCTCGAACAGACCGAAAAGCCCGCCGCTGGAAACATCCTCGCAACTCTAACGCCGTCGCTGGATACATCCTCGCAACTCTGGCCAGCGTAGCCCCAGTAGCCCGAATAGCCCGAATGAGGGCCCCGGTCGACCTGAAAAGCCCGAAAAGCTCGCCGCTCCAGACATCCTCGCAACTCTGACGCCGCCGCCGGAGACATCCTCGCAGCTCTGGCCAGCGCAGCCCGAGTAGCCCGAATAACCCGAATGGGCGCCCGGTTGACCCGGAAAGCCCGAAAAGCCCGCCGTTCGAGACATCCTCGCAACTCGGGCGCCGTCGCTCAAGACATCCTCGCCACTCAAGCTTTTCGGGCTTTTCGGGTCAACCGGATTAGCCCGGAAAGCCCGAAAAGCTCGCCGCTCGAGACATCGTCGCAACTCGGGCGCCGCCGCTCGAGACATCCTCGCAACTCTGGCCAGCGCAGCCCGAGTAGCCCGAAAAGCCAGAAAAGCCCGAGTAAGCCGAAAAGCCCGAAAAGTCCAAACAGCTTTCCGATCGAGACATCCTCGCAACTCTGGCCAGCGCAGCCCGAGTAGCCCGAAAAGCCAGAAAAGCCCGCCGCTCGAAAAATCCTCGCAACTCTGGCGCCGCCGCCCGAGACATCCTAACTCTGGCCAGCGTAGCCCGAGTAGCCCGAATAACCCCAATGGGCGCACGGTTGACCGGAAAAAGCCCGAAAAGCCCGCCGCTCGAGACATCCTCGCAACTCGGGCGCCGTCGCTCGAGACATCCTCGCAACTCAAGCTGTTCGGGCTTTTCTGTTTTTTCTAGCTTTTCGGGCTATTCGGGTCAACCCACTTTTCAGACACCCCTGGCCGACGCAATGCGAATTTGGATCCTGAGCTGGACGGATCTGGGCTGTAGCTGTAGCTGGACCTAGGGTTTGACCTGGAGCTGTAGCTGGGCTCGAGCTGGAGTGGTGGCTGGAGTCGATCAGCTGGAGCTGGAGCTAGGGCTGTAGTGGGGTTCTGGCCACATCAAGAGCGCGAAACGCTGGACAGGACGATTTTACGCGACGATCGCGAAACGACGGACGGTTGGGTCCAGACACTTCAAAACCGTCCCAGAATGTGAATTGTTGCGGCACGGAGACCATCCCATGCTACGCAGGTGGCTCTGGCCGATCAAAAATCATCCCGGGAAGTGAAGATCTGCCTGCACGAAGGGTTGGCCACCCCGTGAGGGTTCCACGCAATTGCTGAAAGTCCAGCTTGGTGGTGAAGTTCTGGCTGTACGACGAGCCAATTGGCTATAAGGGTCGCGCCTGAATTTAGTTGGTGCTAGGGGTTGTGCTCGGTCAGCCGGCCGGTTATACCCTAGGTCTCCAAGATGGGATCTGAGTAGGTGGGGCGCATCGGCGATGCAGCTTGGTGTGGAGCCCGATTCTTTTTCAAGCCGATGGCGTCGGTGCGTCGCCCTTGTCGCCCTTGCGGCGCGATCCCCAGACCCCATCCTCTCGGACCCCTTCGGTGAGGCCTCTGCGGAAGGGGCTGCGCCTGGGTAGCCGGCCGGTGATGAGGGCTGCTATCCAGCTGCGCTGCCGCGAGATTCCGCCATCGCGCTCGGGGTGGGCGCCTGGGTGGCGCCGCGGGGGCCCAGTGGGGGGGGGGGGGGGGGCAGGTGGTCCCTGGAGTTGGGCTCGGGCAGCACCGACGAGGCCAGCGCCACCCACTGGCCCACTGGCCCCAAGGTCCAAGGGGAAATCTTTGGGACAGGCGCACTTACGGGGGACGAGCGAGAACGTGTGGGACGGGGGATGCCAGATACGTAACGCCTGGGCTGGAGGGAGAGCAAACCTTCAGGAGGCATGGCTGGAGTAAGGCAACGGCTGGAGTGGAGGGCAAGGCACCGGACAGGAAAGGTGAGCGTGCGAGCAGGCACGCAGAACGGCAAGCTCGCGGCCCCGCGCGCCTCTGGGGCCAGCGGCCATACACGGAGAGGGGGGACCACTGAGAGGGGAGAGGAGGACATCGGGGGGGGGCAGGATGGAGGCCAGAGGGGGGAGGAGGGAAGGCGAGGGGCCAGTTCTTCAAACAGGGGCTGCGACGGGGCCACTTCTTCGAACGGGCTCCCAAGTGCTGTGACGACCAGGGGGGGGGACCTCCCATGGGCCTCCCCGACTTTGCCGTTTGTCTGCCCTCCGCCACGGCCCCCCGAGTTCTGGCGCGCGCGGGCTTCCCCTTGGCAGGTGCTGCTGACTGTTGCCGAGGGCGTCGCCACGATCACGTTCAACCGCCCAGAGAGATGCAACGCCTGGTCGCAAGACATGATCGGGGCGCTGAAGACCGCGCTCACCCGCTGCAGTAGTGATCCCGACGTAAGGGCGGCCATCCTGACGGGCGCTGGCAGGTACTACTGCAGCGGGGCAGACTTCTCTGGTGGTGACATGTCTTTGATGAGGCCATCCACGATGAATACTGGCGGCGCGACACGGGTGTGGGGCGAGGGCGGTGGCTTCCTGAGCAGGCAACCAAACCCCCCCCCTGGAGGAGAAGGTGCAGTCGGACCGAGGCATGAGATCGAGGTCGGTGTGGGGAGTTACCCGAATTCTTCGTGCGTGTTGGATGCCTTTGTGCACGCTGGGGAGGGTACCCTTGGATGTTCTGTTTGGCCGACGGAGGGTCTCATGTTCTTGAAGGATGTTCTTCTGGCCTCGGTCCGACTGTACCGGTACCGCAACCCTTCCCGTGGTCTCGCTGTTTGGGGCCTCCTGACGGCTGGATTCGCCTCGAAATTTTGGTCGGAGCGCACCCCGTAAGAGGTCCGGGAAGGAGCGGCAGCGGTCTTGTTCGGTTTCCACGGGACGGGGCGCCCGGGAAGCTTCCGCGGAGGCCTCAAGGGCCGCTCTGGGAAGCCCCCCTTCGGGGTTCCGGAGACCTTGGCATCGCTCGGACGTGTGCATTTTTCCTTCGGCGAGGACCATCTAGGAGCATCCTTGATCATTTGGCGAAAAAACCACGCACGAAACCGAAACAAACACAGGGAATGGACGTCCGAGCGATGACGAGAGACGGGGGTATTAATGCAAACGGGGGTCAGTCCGAGCGCTGGATCTTGCAGGGCCCTGCAGGGCCAGGGGTGCCTTGACCCGGGCTTGGGCTGCAGGGCCCTGCAGGACCCTGCAAGGCCTGACTGACCCCCCTGCAGGACCTCGCAGGTCAGAAGATCCCCGACCCCTCGGCCAGGTCCCCCCCGGGGGGCCAGACGTGTGGGCCCTCTCCACGGGGGGTGGAGCGAAGGGCGCTGGTCCTTGCGGCCCCAAAAAGGGGGGTCCGGCTGAAAGGGGGTGGTGCAATAGATTCGGGGCAGTTGTATTGCAAATGTATTGCGCCAGATAATCAGCTTTACGGCACTGTATTGTAACTAGAGTACTGCACGCGAAAGCCCAGCAATACGTTTGCGCCCCGGAATGTACTGCACGCCCAAAATCTTTTGCAACCCCACGGATCGATTGCACCAAAGCTATTGCACCACCCCTTTGTCGCTGGACACCCTTTGTGGTCAATCCGAGCTGTGCGCGCAGTCGTGATGGCCTGGCCTCTGCCCTCTTGGGTGGCCCCGAGTCCTCGCCGCGCCCTCCTGCGCGCCGCCGAGAAGAGCGAGGCCGCCCAGCGAAACCAGTCCCTCTGCCAGAGGAGCACACGCGGCGTTATGAGCATCAACTTTCGGAGGCCCGTGCGGGTTTGTTGGGTGAGCGCGCTGGAGAAAGCGAGCTTTGCAGGTGCTTTCAAGGACAAGGAGCTTCGAAGTAGCTGCGGAAAGGTTTCCGCCACTCGTGTTGGGAATCAGTAGGAAAGCGCTTCCGGAACACACTGCGAGTGCAAGCGACTCGCTACGGGGATGCTTGCCTGGGACCCGTGAGGGGCGGCACTGGAGGCGCTGCCATAGGGCTCCACCACAGATTGGAGAGATTCTTGTGGAGTTCCGAAAGTTTATGTTTTTTGCCGTTCTGTCTTCCTCTATCTTCGATGCTTTCCTCGACTTCCCGAAGCCGCTCGTGGCCGCCGTGAACGGCCCCGCGATCGGGGCGTCGGTGACCTCGGCCGCCCTCTGCGATGCCGTGGTCGCCGCACCAGAGGCCACCTTTCTCACCCCCTTCCGCACCCTCGGGATCTCGGGGTTCCCCAAACTAAGTGGTAATCAGAGGAGAAATGAGGTACATCTTATCGCTACCTTTCCCTCGTTTTCGTGTTTGCGGCCTCCTGGGAGACCGTCGCCACGGCTGGATTCGTCTTGATATTCTGGTCACAGCGCTCCCCAGGAGGTCCAGGGAGAAGCGGCATCGGCATTTTTCGGCTTGTCAAGATTGAGACATGTAGTTGGACTTCGGAGGGCCCCCTCGTCACCACGGCCGGTCTTCGCTCGGAAAATTCTGCGGGTCCTGGGACCGATTTGGGGTCGTCGTTGTCTCCACGAGCCCTCCTGGAACAACCTGTGTGGCGACCTTCCCGTGCGTCGAGTCGGTGGGGATTCGCGGCGGCCGCATTGTTTCGGGCCTCGGGGTTCGTCCTCCGAGGGCGCATCCGGCGACCTGGGGCCTCCAGGGCGCCTGGGCCGTGCAGCGACGCGGGCCGCGTGGTGAGGTCCTTGGGGGACCTGGAGGCTACCGCACGGCCTGTCACCGCACCGCCTCTTCGGGGGCGGCCAAGAGGGGGGTGATGTTTGGGGGGGGGATATTATGGCGGGGGCCATGATACCTCCCCAGAGTTCCTGGCGCTTCTTCTCATTTCAATGCGTCGCTGGCACCCCCCTGGGTCGCGCACATGCCGCCGGCCATGATTTGCACCCCCCCCTTTTGGACGCCCCCCTCTTGGCCGCCTCCGATCTCTGTCACCGCCCCGAGGATCGTCCCCGAGGGCTGCTCGAGCATCAACTTCCCGCGCCTGCTCGGGGAGGACCCCCGCGACGGCGGCGCCGGTCGGCGCCCTCTCCCGCCAGAGGAGGTCGTGGCGCGCCCCTGTGGAGAGGCTCCTCGTCGCCGCGGCCCGGCGCGGCTCCCTCGAGCAGCTGGCCGGGCGTGGGGCCCGTCGTTTTTTTAATGGGTCGTCAAGCACTGGCGAAGCGTCCTGGCTCGCTAATAGATCCACCAAATAATGTTCTCGTCCTCCTCGTCCTCCTCCTCGTCCTCCTCCTCCTCCTCCTCCTCCTCCTCCTCGTCCTCCTCCTCCTCCTCCTCCTCCTCCTCCTCCCCCTTCTCCCATTTCTGCCTCTGCCTTCAGTACAGCGCCCATCACATCGCTTCGTGGCCCCATAGGGAGCTCCACCGAAGGCCCCAGTGGTTGTGACCGCATGCGTCTCCGCCACCAATTTCGGCTCACAACCGAAGGCCCCAGTGGCTGTGACCACATGCGTCCCCGCCACCCATTTCGGCACACCCCTTACACGTTGCGTGGCCCCATGGGGAGCTCCATTGAAGGCCTCAATGGCTGTGACCACATGCGCCCCCGCCACAAATTTCGGTACGCCCCTCACACGCTTCGTGGCCCCATGGGGAGCGCCACCGAAAGCCTCAGTAGCCGTGTCCATTCGCGTCCCCGCACCCATTCCGGCACACACCATACAAATTGTTCGTGGCCCCCTAGAGAGCTGCACCGACGGCCTCAGGAGCTGTGACCACATGAGTCCCCGCCACCGATTTCAGCACACCCCTCACACGCTGCGTGGCCACATAGGTAGCTTCACTGAAGGCCCCAGTGGCTGTGACCACATGCGTCCCCGCCACCCATTTCGGCAAACCCCTCACACGGTTCGTGGCCCCACAGGGAGCGCAACCGAAGGCCCCAGTGGTTGTGACCACATGCGTCCCCGCCACCCATGTTGGTAAAACGGTCGCAAGTTTCGTGACCCCTCAGGGAACTTTACCGACGGCCTCAGTGGCTGTGACCACATGCGTCCCCTCCACCGATTTCGGCACACCCCTCACACGCTGCGTGGCCACATAGGGAGCTGCACCGACGGCCCCAGTGGCTGTGACCACATGCGTCCCCGCCACCCATTTCGGCAAACCCTTCACATCGTTCGTGGCCCCATAGGGAGCGTCACCGAAGGCCCCAGTGGTGGTGACCACATGCGTCCCCGCCACCCACTTCGGCACATTCTCACACGCTTCGTGGCCCCATAGGGAGCTCCACTTAAGGCCCCAGTGTCTGTGACCATGCGCTCCCGCCACACATTTCGGCACAGTCTCACACATTTCGTGACCTCATAGGGAGCTCCACCGAAGAGGATACGCACCACTGCGGTATTCATAGCTGCATATGGTTGTGTCCTTCGTCTGGACAGTTGTTTGAGGGATGGCGGGGGTGCCAGCATTTTTGTTTGCTGCGCGCAGGGCCAGCTCCCATGTCAACATGCACTTCGAGACAACATCTGGATCATGCGCGGGCAATCCGCGATCACGGTGCATTGGTTTTTGATTGGGGCGGCGGGGGTGTTGGCATATTGCCTGCTGTGTGCAGGCCCACCAGACGCCATGATGGTCACCCCGCCACGATTGCGCACTGGTTTTTGACAAGGGTGGTGGGGGCCGACACGTTTCCCGATGTGTACTACCAGATGTGCAGGCACACCTGGCACACTCTGCGGGTGCATCGAACGTGGCGCACCCGGCGCGGCTGGAGCATGCGGCACGCATGGCGCACGTAGATCACGTGGCGCATTTGGCGCACCAGGCGTGCCCGGCACGCTTCGGCCACAGGGATGCCTGGCGCATCTGGCGCGCGTGGCGCGCCTGGCACGCGTGGCGCACCTCGCCCCAGCGTTGCGTACACTGGTTCTGTTTTGGATCACAGTAGGTGTCCATCCAAAGACAACCGCTGAACACGCTGCGGCTCGGGTGCTACTTCTGTGTTGGTAGGATAGGTCGGAGTGAGTGAGACGGCTTGCGGGCGGCGATGGTCTTTAACCCCCTTCCGTCGTTCACCCCCGTCAGGAGGGAAAACAGGGAACGGAATCGATTTAGTTTCGACGTTTTTGTTTTCCTCTGTTCGTTGTATCTTTCTCGGGGCTGGCGACGTCGACGAAGACGACGACGACGTTTCACACACGCCGAAGGGTCGGCAGATTTGGCATACATGCGCACGTCTGTGCAGCAATACACGTGAGGTGTGTGTGTGTGTGCGTGTGCGTGTGTGCGTGTGTGTGTGTGTGTGTGTGTGTGTGTGTGTGTGTGTGTGTGTGTGTGTGTGTGTGTGTGTGTGTGTGTGTGTGTGTGTGTGTGTGTGGGGGATACTTGTTGGTCTCCACGTACCGGCCACAACGCTGTTTAGCATAGTTTTGGCATTGTTGTGTTTTTCGGTTCGTGTTTCGTTTCTGATTCGTTTCGTTGTTCGTTTTAGTTTTCACCGCCTCGTCTCTCTGTTCGTGTCGTTTGGCACCGCTTTCGTTTTGAACGTTCGCTTCGAACGTTGGATTTCACTTAGGCTACCGTTTTCAGCGCCACTTCTTTTCAGGCATCGTTGTGGTCGGTTTTTGTTGTTCCCCGGTGCATGGATGTCCTATGGTTGCGTGTGCCACGCCGTCCCCGCAAGCGGGGCGAGACGCCCTGGGGCGCTCGATTGGGCTCTCGCTTTCGCTTTCGCCCCCCCTCCGAGAGGACGGCGCGCGCGCAATGCTGGAGGAGGCGCGCCGGGTAGGCGCCGCGGAGGCTCTCGCAATGGGGCTGGTGCAGGACGCCGACGACGACGACGACGACGACGACGACGACGGCGACGACGGACGACGGACGACGGACGACGGTCGGCGACCGACAACGACGACGCCGACAACGACGAAGATGACGACGACGACGATGACGACGAGGACGACGGCGACGATGATGACGACGACGACGACGGACGACGAACGACGGACGATAGATGACGGACGACGGACGCCGGACGACGGTCGACAGACGACGATAGACTTTCGACGACGACGATGACGACGACGCCGCCGACGACGACGTCGGCGACGACGACGTCTGACAACCGCAGCGTCGTCTACGCCTCCGACGCCGACGGCGGCGGGCGACGCCGCAGGCGCCGCCGAAGGTTGAGGGCCGACTCGACCGTCGGTTCACTGGGTACACGCCGGTCGTTAACAGTCTCTAGGCCTCCCAGATGGGGTCGGAGTAGATGGGGGCGAGGTCTTGCTCCGCATCGCCGATGCGGCTCGATGTTGATCCCGTGTTGCTTCATATCCACGTCGCCGATTAATCGCCGACGTCGGCGATGCATTGCCGATACATCCCTGATGCATAGCCGATGCATCGGCGATGCGGCGCGATCCTTCGACCCCGCCTACTCCGACCCCATCTAGAAGGCCTCTAATTTCCCTGATCAGGGTAACTCGGCTGGCGATCGCTTCTGGACGGGCTTGCGGGGATGCGCGAAGCGTCAAGAACTTCTGAATGCGTGGGCCTGTGGAGACATCCGGCGGACGCGCAGCAACGGCGACGACGGCGACGCTGCCGATGCCGCGACGCCGCCGACGATGACGTCGGCGGTGGTGACGCTGACCGACGCCGCCAGTGCCGCCGCCGCCGACGACGACAGCGACTGACTCGGAGGAGGGCCAGTCGAGATAACGGCGGCGGCCATCCTTGGCGTTTTCTTTTTCCGGGCCTCCTGGAGGCTTCTCGTCGCCACGGCTGGATCCGCATCGACCGACGGGTCGGGAAGACCCTGGGGGACGTCCCAGGGACCCATCTCGAACGGACGTGGGCCAGGCTTGAGAGCCGCCGTTGCCTCGACTGAGGCTCCCCTCCGAGGGACGTGGGCGGCGAAGACGGCGGAGCGTCGACGGCGTGCAGGAGGTCGTGGAGATGCCGCGGTTGCTGGGCCGGGCCCGCGAGATCGCGGAGGACTGGGGAGTTTACGGTCACGGTAGGTTCGCCCCGTGTCGACGCGGCTGCGACCCCAGCGCGGGCGCTCCGAGTTGAACGCCGCTGCTGGCTGTGCATCGCTCGGTGTCGAGCGATCGGCAGCTTCGCATTGCGGCGCTCCCTCTTGGTGTCAGAAGCCCACGCCCAAGTCGCCACGAACCTGTCGCACATGGACAGCTTGCAGAGGCCCAGCGTGGATCTTCCTGTGTCGGCGCTGGAACCCCACTGGCCGCGGCGGTGCCTTCGGCGCGGCTGGCGCGCTCCATGCGCGTCAGCGCCGGCTCGAGAGCTCCCCGCGGACCACCGGCCTGTGCTGCTCCGTGCTTGTGCCATCCCGGAGGAGCGGGCGGCCCGGGGGCGGCCCAGGAGGTTCCTCGAGCTCGGGGGCGCAGAGTGGCACGCGGCCCTGAGGGAGGCGAACCGCCAGGAGTCGGTCGCGCTGGCCGAGTCCTTCCTCCAGCGCCCCTTCCTGGAGGGCCAGTACCTCGCAGCGGCGGCGAAGGTCGAAGAGAGTCGAGTCACCAGCCTCGAACTTATCCCTATCCCTAAGATTGACACGCCAAAAGGCGATGACAATCTTAGGGATGCGCCCTGAAAAACTAAGGGAATCCCTAAGATTGGCATTGTGATGAGGCGATGCCCAGTTTAGGGATAGGGATATGTTCCAGGCTGGTAAGAGAGAGGCTGCGTAAGCACGGTTGCAGGCAAAGCGCATAGCAAGGATGCGCATTTTCCCGAGGTGGCTCTTACGTCCCTGCCCCCCTCCGGCCCATCCTTGGCAGGTTTCGCCCGCCAGCGCCGTTCGGACATCGCCAACACGACCCGCCCAGGCCCCTGCCTCCTTGTCACGCATCCTCACTATGCGGTTTTGACTGTGCAGTTTGCAGGAGAGAAAGAAACACAGACACAATTAATCGTCGATTCCTTAGAAAATATGCGAACATGTGGGAAGTGGGGGGGAAGACAGAAAACCCAGAAAACAAGAAACATATAGGGAATCCTGTTACTTGTGTGTATTTATCTGTGTATCCCAGGGCCCCTTCAATTAAGCGTTTTGCCTGTGCAGTTTGGAGGCCGCGCCGATTTCGTGGATCGGCGCCGGGCCTCGTCGTGCGGCGCCTCAGCGAAAAGTTCTCGCGGGACTCTCACAGTTGAGGCCTACAGCGGAGGCCCATGCCGAGAAACACCCTGCTCGCCTCTAGGGTGCCCTGGTTTTTGTTGGGGGGTATGAAGGTTTTTCTCTGGAAAGCGTGACGCTCCCACACCTAACAAGTCCATGGACGTCCTGGGGTCTCAGGGGTTGGGTTTCTTGTGGAAGGTTTCTTGTGGACCAGCTTCCACTGTATGCAGTTTAGTCTTCTAGAAGTCGAAGAGAACAAACATTGCATCAGCATAATCTTTCGGAGTTCCGCGCGAATTCCTCGGATCGGCGCTGGGGCCCCCTTGGCGGCGCCTCCGGCGCCGCCCTTGGCGTGCTCCGCACGCCAGGTAGGGGCCCTCTGGGCTCCAGCGCCGAACCAAGACATCCGCGCGGGGCTCTTAAATATGATGCTTATGCAGTTTGATCTTCTGGAATACGGAAACAACAACAATCACATAACCATGCAAATTCGGAGTTCCGCGCAAATTCCTCAGATCGGCGCTGGGGCCCCCTTCGCAGCGCCTCCAGCGCCGCCCCTGGCGCTGGGGAGGGGGGTCCAGCGCCGATCTGAGAATTCCGCGCGAGCCTTCAAGCTGGTAAGTTCATGCCTTTGCTTGTTCCTCGATAGAAGGGGAAGACGGCCCCGAAGATCGCCTTCTGGGCCGCTATGCACCTCATGAGGACGCCGCTGGCGAGGCTCTGAGGGGCACCCTTGCGTCAATAGACTCTCCAGTGGCGCTCGGCTTGGCATCGGTACGCGCCAAAAAATTAGCCTGGCGAAGGACCCAACCATGAGTATATAGAGCAGTTGTAAGTATCGTCTTCGGTGGAATGCCCTATGGGGCCACGAAACGTGTGAGCAATGTACCGAAACGGGTGCGTTGAGCGCCTGCGAACAGCCACTGGGACCTTCGGTCGAATCCCCTGTGGGCCACGAAACGTGTGACGGGCATGCCGAAATGAGTGCGACGGACGCATGCGAACACCGCCATTGGGGCCTTGGGTGGAGCTCCCTGTGGGGCCACGAAGCGTGTGAGGGGCTCGCTGGCATTGGTGGCGCGGACGCATGTGGACGCGGGACCGTGGGTGGAGCTCCTTCTTGGGCCAAGAATCGTGCAAGGGTGTGTCGAAATGGGCGGCGCGGACGCATGTGGAAGGCGCCTGTGGGGCCGTGGCTGGGACCCTCTCATGGGGCCACGAAACGTGTGAGGGGTGTGCCGGCATGGGTGCCACGGACGCGTGTGGACGGTACAATTTGGGTTTGGGGTGGAGCTCTTTCTGCGGCCACGAAACGTATGAGGGTTGTACCTGAGTTGGCTTCGCGGGCGCATGTGGACGGTGCCACTGGGGCCTCGGGTGGAGCTTTCTATGGGGCCACGAAGCGTGTGAGGGGTGCGCCAAAATGGGTGCCGTTCACGCGTGTGGACGGTGCCCATGGGGCCTTTGGTGGAGCAGCCGTCAACATGGGACCATAAAACGTGTGAGGGGTGTGCCGTAATTGGTGGCGCGGACGCATTTGTGGACGGTGCGACTGGGGCCTTGGGTGGAGCTTCCTATGGGGCCACGAAGCGAGTGAGAGGTGTGTTGAACTTGATGGCGCGGACGCATGTGGAGCTCTGGGTGGAGCTCCCTATGTGGCCATGGAACGGGTGAGGGGTGTGACGAAATGGGCGATGCGGGCGCATGTGGACGGGGCCATTGGGGCCTGTTGTGGAACTCCTTGTGAGGCCACCAAGCGTGTGAGGGGTGCGCCGACATGTGTGGCGCGGACGCATGTGGACGGTGCCATTGGGGCCTTTGGTGGAGCTCCTCATGGGGCCACGACTCGTACGAGGAGTGTTCCGAAATGGGCGGCGCGAGCGCGTGTGGACGGTGCCATTGAGGCCTTGAGCGGGGCCCTCTATGGGGCCACGAAACGTGTGAGGGGTGCGCCGACATGGGTGGCGCGGACGCATGTGAACGGTGCCTTTCGGGTTTTGGGTGGAGCTCCTTATGGGGCCACGAATCGTGTGAGGGGTTTGCCGAAATGTGTGTCGCGGACGCATGTGGACGGTGCCATTGGGGCCTTTGGTGGAGCTCCTCATGGGGCCGCGAAGCGTGTGGGGGGTGCGCCGGCATTGGTGGCGCGGACGCATGCGGACGGTGCGTTTCGGGCCTTGGGTGGGGCTCCCCATTGGGCCACGAAGCGTGTGAAAGGTGTGTTCAAATTTGTGACGCGGACGAATGTGGAGCTTTGGGTGGAGCTCTCCATGGGGCCACGGAACGGGTGAAGGGTGTGCCGAAATGGGCGGCGCGGGCGCATGTGGACGGGGCCACTGGGGCCGTTGGTGGAGCTCCCTCTGGGGCCACCAAGCATGTGAGGGGTGTGCCGTAATTGGTGGCGCGGACGCATTTGTGGACGGTGCGACTGGGGCCTTGGGTGGAGCTTCCTATGGGGCCACGAAGCGAGTGAGAGGTGTGTTGAACTTGATGGCGCGGACGCATGTGGAGCTCTGGGTGGAGCTCCCTATGTGGCCATGGAACGGGTGAGGGGTGTGACGAAATGGGCGATGCGGGCGCATGTGGACGGGGCCATTGGGGCCTGTTGTGGAACTCCTTGTGAGGCCACCAAGCGTGTGAGGGGTGCGCCGACATGTGTGGCGCGGACGCATGTGGACGGTGCCATTGGGGCCTTTGGTGGAGCTCCTCATGGGGCCACGAATCGTGTGAGGGTTGTGCCGGAATGGGTGGCGCGGACGCATGTGGACGGTGCCATTGGGGCCTTGGGTGGAAGTCCTTATAAGGCCACCAAGCGTGTGTTGGGTGCGCCGGCATCGGTGGCGCGGACGCACGCGGACGGTACTTTTCGAGTTTGGGGTGGAGCTCCCCATGGGACCACGAAGCGTGTGGGAGGTGCGTTGACATCAGTGACGCGGACGCATGCGGACTGTGCCTTTCGGACCTCGGGTGGGGCTCCCTATGTGGCCAGGAAGCGTGTAAGGGGTGCGCCGGCATTGGTGGCGCGGACGTGTGTGGACGGTTCCCGTGGGGCCTTGAGCGGGGCTCCCTATTGTGCCACGAAACTTGTGAGGGGTGTGCCAAAATGGGTGGCGCGGACACCAGGAGACGTTTGAGGAGTGCGTCGAAATTCGTGGCGAAGACGCACGTGGACGGTGCCATTGGGGCTTCGGTTGTGCTCCCCATGGGACCACGAAACGTGTGAGGGGTGTGTCGACATGGTTGACCGGTGCGGAGGGCAGAGACAGGGATAGAAGGAGAGAGGATTGAGCAGGAGGAGGAGAATGCGGGACGCAGTCTCTTCGAACCGAGGACCCAACACCCCAGGATGGTTCGGAAATGCAAATGCTCTCCACACCTTCGCCTGATATTGGTGTCCACTATGGCAGAGAAAGCTGAGTGGCTTGTTTGCGTGATGGGCGTATTGCAAAGGCCTTCTGGCCGGTGCCGCCGACCCTGAAGACGACGACGACGAGGACGCCGACGAAGACGTGGATAAAGATCAGGAGGAGTAGGAGGACACGGGGGACGCTGTGGAGCAGCAGAAGGAGGAGGTGGTGAGGGAGGAGGTCCTCCTGGCCGCCTCGACGGCCAAGGACGCCGAGGCCCTCCCGCGGGCGGGGGTGGTGGGGGAGGAGGAGCCGCGCCTTCGTCCGTCGGATCTGGCTCCCCCACCCCTGCCCTGCTCTCTCGTTTCTTGTGGGCGCGGCCGCTTCAAGCCTCAGAGCCTCCAGGCCTGCGGCTCTCGTGAGGACCCCGAGTTGTCGCTGCTGCAGCGGTTTTCGACACCCACGGTCATCGTCTGCGTGCGGCCGCGGTCTTCGGACACCCACGGGGCCACCGTCCTCTCGGGGCCCCCCGCCCTCGTCTGCATCGCTTGCGGGGGGTACGCGCGGGGGGGTGTCGCCTCGCTGGCGCGCCCGTGTGGGGGCAGGCCGCCCACCAAGCACACGGGGCGGCAGCTGGCGAGGCTCGGCACTGTGGGTGGAGGCTCGGGCCCCTGCGGGGGCCTTCTTCGGGCGACCTCCTGGCCCTGGCGGCCCCTCGTGTGCTTGGTGGGGTGCGGGCCTCGCCTGGGGCCCTGGAGCCCGTCTGGGGGGCAGGGTGGTCCCGTGAGGGGGTGGACCAGCTCGAGTTTTGGAAGGCGCGGGACGGGGACCCGAACCCTACCGACGAGGACGAGGACCCCGTCCTTCTTCGAGCTGGTTAGTTGGTTTTGTTTTAGGCGCGGCTGGCACTGCCCCGCGTCCTAAACTAGAATAGAATGGAAGTGGGGGCAGGGGGGAGGACGGGGGGGAGAGAATGAACAGCAGGAGGACGAGGAGAATGGGAATCGGGGGAACAGGATAAGGAGGGAGACGGGGAGGAGGATGGCGAGGAGGGGGCGGGGGAGTGCCAGCGTGGGGAGGAAGAGGTCTGGGAGGCCTCGGGGGGTGAGTATGGGGGCATCGTGGGAGCCTCTTGGGAGCTTCTTGGGGGCTTCTTGGGAGGCTTTTGTGGCCTCCTGGCAGCCTCTTGGGGGCCCCTTTGGGGCCTTTGGTGAACATTTCCGGGGTCTCTTGTACCCGTCTGGGGCGATATTGGGGGCATCTTGGGCCTTTTTGGACATCGGGAAGCGGAAAAAAAGGTGAGAATGACGATGCGAAAATGAATGCATTATCCCTTTCGGGTGCTCTCCTGGGAGTGCTCCTCCATGTGTCTTGGGGCGCCTTGCAGGCTTCCAGGGCCGTGCCCGGAGGCTGTCAACACGTCTCGGGGCCGATCGTTCGGCGATTCGCGGCCCTCTTGGTAG